CTGCCAGGATGCTGGCAAACCGAAAATTCACGCTGCGGGAGGGGGGGGAGTTTCAGTTTGTACCAAGGGGCCACCTGGATTGGCCGTGGCCCTGAGCTCCGGAGGTGATTTGACCTGTCCTGAGCCCTGTGCCTCTGTCCTTCCCCCATCCTCTAGTGAAGAATGACCGAGCTGACACCCTCACTTTGAGCCTTGCTAACTCTTGGTTAGTGGAGGCAGATGGGAAGGGGTTAGTGCTGCTGCCAAGCTACGTCAGGCCTTGCTGAGCATGGCGTGGAAAAAGCAGCTCTGATGCCATCCTGGTTCCTATTTATGTCAGAATAGGCCTTTAGCATTCTGTCACTGGAATCTTCTGTGAGTGTGGCGAGCTTTCTCCGGAACTCGAAACTGAGTCTTCTGAAAGTCTTACCCCCTGGTTACTTTCTTTCCTTGTGCATTTAGTTAACTTTCCAAAGATGATAGGAGAAGCAAGCTGGGCATACTGGTACTTAGTACGTTTCAGCCGAGTCTGTAGGTAAGGATTGCCGTGGGGAGCGGTGCTTCTAAGTGGATCCACTCCTCTTGGCAGGGAGAAGGCTTACAGGTCTGTGGCCTTGCAGCATTGTGCAGTTACACCATGCACCTTAAAGCCATCAAGGCCCAGGACGGCACTTAGGTCATCAGAACAACTCTGGGATATGTGCAGAGGGAGAGTGTCTGATTGATTATGGCCCCAAAGGTGTGAGCCCTGGGCATAGGGAGGCGTCCCAGGACCTGCTTTTGGGCCCTCTCACATGCTCCCCAACCCTGCCACTGGGAGCCTGTGGCTTAGGCCCTACCATGAGGCTCGGTACATAACTGGTACTGAGCACATGTATCTTGGGCAACTGAAAATAATTGCACAGACCCATTCTCCTGGGTGCTGGATGGAAGGGGTGGAGGGACACACAGAGCTGAGACCCCCTGCTGAGACAGGCAGCCCCTGATCACCAATTCAGGGCACTTGATAACCCCGTGAGTTCTTAAGTGACAGGACTCAGCGAGAGCGGGTGGACTGGGGGACCACAGGACTCCACACGGCCCTCTGCACAGGCTTCCATCTTGGGTAGGTGGCAACACGGCCAGCATCCATTCCCACTCCCAGCCCTGGTCCAGTCTGTTCAGTAGTCCTGGGGAAAGAGCCTGCTTCATTCCTTAAAATTCCAGTGAACATATTAGTATAGAGTCGCACTGGTCAGTCCTGGGTGTAGGCCCCATCACAGTGGTCGGGAGGATGACATTGGCTGATCGGCCAGGCCTGACGTGTCCACTCCCCACCTGATCCCCAGGGCCCAGGGATGTGCAGCACCCGGGGGCCAGTGCCCATACTGGGATCCCACCTGCTGAGCTGCCTGGAGGCGGGTGGTTCCCAGAAAAGTCAGGGTGTGAGTGCAAGGAGCAGGCGGCGTTGTGCTGGCACGAGTGAAATGGCACCTGTCCACCACATGTCAGTTGTCACAGCTGCCTGGCCAGCATTCACCACTGCCTCGGCCTTCTTCTCTTCTGGGTGTTGAAAGTGGCTGGGCTGGCAGTCAGGGTGGGGGTGATGTGAATGAGGTTCTTGTGCTGTCTCTCAGGGCTTCAGCATGGGCATAGGAAGAGATGGACGGGTCCATGCCATCAAATCGAGTGCCTCTGTGCTGGGATCTGTCCTGGCCGTTGAGATCACATCAGCGAGCACCACGCATGGGCCTGCCTTTCTGGGCCTCTTGTGCAGCTGGGGAGACATTACACAAATAACATCCCCAGAACCTGAGTGGGCCTCAGCATCCTTGCCTGTAAGGTGGGGCTCCAGTGCCTCAGTTGGGATCGGGCTGAGTCGGTGAGTGAGTGGCTGCCATCAATTGGGACAGGGGGCAGGCGCTACCCAGGAGGTCGGACAAACCAAGGAAACAGCTGGGCAGGTGCTTGTGCCCTTGGCACAGAGGTGCCCCAGGCTGGCGGCTCCCTGGGGGGTGGGAAACTGCCTGGGTGTGTACGTGAGTTGTCAGTGTGTTTGTCAGCAGGCAGGCATTCTTGGTGCCGACTTTGGCGGGATCTGTCAGCTTTGGAACCCTGGGCTGCCGCTCAGTGTTAGCTTGGAGAGGTCACTGCTCTGCCTCCTCAGGACCATTGTGGCTGCTCTGTTTTAATTTGCTTTTTGGCTTTCTCAGTCTTTTGAGTCTTGCATTATCCCGCCCATAACCCCCTCCAAAGGAGTCTCTGCCTGGGTGCCCTCGCAGTAACACAGCGCCCCAGAGTGGAGCTGGTACTAGGTGTGTTGGTTCCAGGGCCATAGTACTAAGGTGAGGTAGCTGGCATCCCAGTGGGGGCTGTCCTTAAGGAGAATCCCAGAGGGGCTTGGCCCCACACTCGGAATGTCCAAGCCCAGGCATTCAAGATGCTGTTCAGCCCAAGCTTAGTACGTGGGGCAGGGGGCAGGTGCTCCCTGAGGTGCCTAGGGACCTAGAGCAGGGAGGCCCTTGGAAACACAGGTGTGTTGATAATGGAACTGATACCGGCATCAGGGCACTTGAACGTGACCTTGGTGGAGAGGGCTTGGGCTTAGGAGTCCCAGGGCTTGAACTGGAGTTCTTCCTGGTCCTTGACTCTCGTTTCCCCCAGCACAGTCTGCAGACCAGAGGCAACAAACATCTCTTAAAATGACCTGACACTGGCCGGATGCAGTGGCTCACACCTGTAATCCCAGCGCTTTGAGAGGCCAAGGTGGATGGATCATTTGAGGTCAGGAGTTCAAGACCAGTCTGACCAACATGGTGAAACTCCATCTCTACTAAATACAAAAAATTAGCCGGGCTTGGTGGTGCATGCCTGTAATCTCAGCTATTTGGGAGGGTGAGGCAGGAGACTTGCTTGAAGGCAGGAGGCGGAGGTTGTGGTGAGCCGAGATTGCGCCATTGCACTCCAGCCTGGGCAACAAAAATGAAACTCTGTCTCAAAAAACATGTCCTGACACTGTAGGGTGGTGAAGTAGGGGACAGAGCCGCATTTGGGAAATTGTTTGATGACCAAGAGGCTGGTCTGGAGTGAGGAAACTGGAGTGAAGGTTTAGCAATCACAGCAAGATTTGGGGAAATGTCGCAGGGTCTGGAATTCAGGTTGGGCAATTCTGATCATTCATGGCTGAGCTGTTGGCACAACCTCCCTCAGACCAGCTCAGCCCAGCCCCTCAGGCTCTGTGCCACTGCATCTGAGGGCCCAGCTTCGAGGATGTGCTCAGGAAGTAGTTGTCATGTGTCCCCCACGTGTCAGTTGTCCAGTGAGTTGTGGAGGCCTGAGTAGGATGGGAATCTCACTTTACAAGAAAGCAGTAGTGAGGTACAGGGTGGAGGTGGAGCTGGGACCGCAGGGCACAGCGTGGACCTGCTTCCAGTGCTCTCTCCCCAGCCCCCAGAAGGGCTGACCTTATCACCTCGGAGCGCTGTGGGCTGCAGGGTTGGACAGCAGTGCCTTAGGCAGGGCCTGGGTCTGCGTTCTGCCTGGAGCTTGGGGGCTTAAGCAGCAAGGCCAGTTTGGCCCCTGTGCCCTCCCTGCCTAAGCCCAAAAGCAGGGACCTTGCCTAGCTCTAATCCCTTCAGTTTCTCTGGCTCTTTGCCAGGGGAGGAGTGAGCAAGAGAGAGCCAGGTAGCTGGACACTCATTTCTTATTTCATTGAAGCATGAAATCGCTTCCTTCCTCTACCAGATTGTTACCTAAGTAGGAAATTGACTTAGAGCAGGAGGCTGCAGGGGAGGTGTATACTTTTGAATATTAAAAATGAAAAACTTGGTTGTTTAGGGTTTTTGTTTTTTGGCCCCATTACCAGCAGGAAGACAGCAGCACAGGCTTTTAGGGAGTCAAGATGCTGGAATGCAGTTTGCTTTTTGGCCACATTTTCTCTAGGCATATGAGTTTTGCTGGATGTTAATGACAGTGCTTTGGAAATCCCCCGGATTGAGCAGGCAGTGAACCTGTTTGTTGGCACAGACCGTCACTCTGAGCACCAGATCCCCAGGCGTGGTGGAGAGGGGCAGACGAGGGAGGCAGGGGAGGTGTTGCTCAGACCTAGGATCCTGGAGTCACTTGGGGGACCGGGGAAGCTCTGGCTGCATGTTCCTCTGCTTTGGCTGAGGCAAATCTGGGTCGCTTCAGTTAGAGTTCAGCATGTCCTGCTGTCATCTTGGGCCTCTGCCTTGGTCTCGAGTGTGAGTCACTGGTGGGCCTGCCTTCAGGCCATCACTTGCACAGCTAGGTGAAGACCCCTGTGGAGACACCTGGATTCAGAGAACATGTCTCCACTGAGCACTTGGGCCATGATGGCGGCCCGTGGGGATGTTCCCAAAGGCAAGGGGGACGTCTGGCCAGTACCACCTGGAGCCCATCCCAGGGCAGTCTGTTGGGAGCAGGGAAAGGGGTGCATGAGGCTCTGCTTGGGTGTCCACAGTAAACCCTGCAAGGATCAGTCACCTTGGATAGAGATCAGGCTTCATAACCGGACAGCCCCTGTGAGAATCCCGGCTGTGGCAGTTTGGGTAGTTTCTTTGCTTCTCTGAGCTGTGGCTTCTGTAGCTGTACAGTGGGACTCCCAAGGGAAGCTTCTGCAGAAGGCTATCATGAGAGTGGAATGTGGTCTAAGGCACCGGTTCCTTAGCACTGCCGGACAGCTGCCTGAGTCAGGAACACCGCTTGCATGTTCTCTTAACCATGGGAGGCAGCCTCAAGTCGAGCTTGCCTGGGGGATGGCTCATCGGCAGGCCAAAGATGTTTGTCCCAGAGCTGGCCCATACCCGGAGAACAGAACCAGTTTCTGCAGGGCAGGGTGAGATCCAGCCACTCTACCCTGTGTTGTCGTTGGCGACGGGGTTGTGGGAGAGGGGCTTGGTTTAGCAGAGGTGAGCAGAGAGGGGGTGGGAGGGGGCAAGGGGCTCGTGCTGAAGAGTGAGCCCTGAGAGGGCAGATGGACAGGATGGGCTCCTCTGACCTGTGGGCTTGTTCCCCCACAGGCTGGTGCACCATGTCGGTCAGCGTCCACGAGACCCGCAAGTCGCGGGGCAGCACAGGCTCCATGAACGTCACCCTCTTCCACAAGGCCTCCCACCCGGACTGCGTGCTGGCCCACCTCAACACGCTGCGCAAGCACTGCATGTTCACCGACGTCACGCTCTGGGCAGGCGACCGTGCCTTCCCCTGTCACCGTGCCGTGCTGGCCGCCTCCAGCCGCTACTTTGAGGCCATGTTCAGCCACGGCCTGCGGGAGAGCAGGGACGACACTGTCAACTTCCAGGACAACCTGCACCCAGAGGTGCTGGAGCTGCTGCTGGACTTCGCCTACTCCTCCCGCATCGCCATCAACGAGGAGAACGCGGAGTCGCTGCTGGAGGCGGGCGACATGCTGCAGTTCCACGACGTGCGGGACGCCGCCGCCGAGTTCCTGGAGAAGAACCTCTTCCCTTCCAACTGCCTGGCCATGATGCTGCTCTCGGACGCCCACCAGTGCCGCCGGCTGTACGAGTTCTCCTGGCGCATGTGCCTGGTGCACTTTGAGACGGTGCGGCAGAGCGAGGACTTCAATAACCTGTCCAAGGACACGCTGCTGGACCTCATCTCCAGCGATGAGCTGGAGACTGAGGACGAGCGGGTAGTCTTCGAGGCCATCCTCCAGTGGGTGAAGCACGACCTGGAGCCGCGGAAGGCCCACCTGCCCGAGCTCCTCCGCAGCGTGCGGCTGGCGCTGCTGCCGTCGGACTGCCTGCAGGAGGCCGTCTCCAGCGAGGCCCTCCTCATGGCGGATGAGCGCACCAAGCTCATCATAGACGAGGCCCTGCACTGCAAAACCAGGATCCTGCAGAACGATGGCGTGGTCACCAGCCCCTGTGCCCGGCCACGCAAGGCAGGCCACACGCTGCTCATCCTTGGGGGCCAGACCTTCATGTGCGACAAGATCTACCAGGTGGACCACAAGGCCAAAGAGATCATCCCCAAGGCTGACCTGCCCAGCCCCCGCAAGGAGTTCAGCGCCTCGGCGATCGGCTGCAAGGTCTATGTGACGGGGGGCAGGGGCTCCGAGAATGGGGTCTCCAAGGACGTCTGGGTGTACAACACTGTCCATGAGGAGTGGTCCAAGGCGGCGCCCATGCTGATTGCCCGCTTTGGCCATGGCTCAGCTGAGCTGGAGAACTGCTTGTATGTGGTGGGGGGACACACGTCCCTGGCAGGTGTCTTCCCGGCCTCACCTTCGGTCTCCCTGAAGCAAGTGGAGAAATACGACCCTGGGGCCAACAAGTGGATGATGGTGGCCCCCCTGAGGGACGGCGTCAGCAATGCTGCGGTGGTGAGCGCCAAGCTGAAGCTCTTTGTTTTTGGAGGAACCAGCATCCACCGGGACATGGTGTCCAAAGTCCAGTGCTATGACCCCTCAGAGAACAGGTGGACGATCAAGGCTGAGTGCCCCCAGCCGTGGCGATACACAGCCGCCGCTGTCCTGGGCAGCCAGATCTTCATCATGGGGGGTGACACGGAATTCACGGCGGCCTCGGCCTACCGCTTTGACTGTGAGACCAACCAGTGGACACGGATTGGGGACATGACCGCCAAGCGCATGTCCTGCCACGCCCTGGCTTCCGGCAACAAGCTCTATGTGGTCGGGGGCTACTTTGGGACCCAGAGGTGTAAGACCCTGGACTGCTATGACCCCACTTCAGATACATGGAACTGCATCACCACGGTGCCCTACTCACTCATCCCCACAGCCTTCGTCAGCACCTGGAAGCACCTGCCCGCGTGAGGAGCACCTGCCGAGCCCAGGTGAGCCCCTGGCAGCCCAGAGCCACTCTGGGTCTGGAAGGGTCATGGGGGAACACAGTACCGCCTGCTCCCACTCTGGGTGAGGGTCACGGTGTCTTCCAGGGAAGTCTGGGTGGGCAGCAGGTGGCTGGTGTGCTCTGGTGTCAACTCCTGGCTCTGCCTTCTATTTGCAGTTAACCTGGAGCAAATTGTTCAACCAGGCTGCAAAATGGGGACAAAAACCTTAGTTAGACCAGCAGGGTGGTTTCTAAACATGGCTACACTTCAGAATCACCCAGGGATCTTTTGACAATGCCCTGTGGAACTTGGGTCAACCTGCAAAGTCTGAGGGTGCGATCTCCACACAGCCCGCTCTTAGTTTTGACAACAGGTGCAACAAAGGGGTCCCCCAAACCACCCTCTGTCAGTTTTGCCTGAAGGACTTACAGAACTCGCTGAAGGCTGTTAGGCTCACACTTACAGTTTATTACAGGGAAAAGATACAGATTAAGCTAAGCCAAGGGAAGAGATGTATAGTAGGGCAGAGTCCAGGAGAATGGCCCCTCCCCATGAAATCAGGACAGTGTTACTCTCCTCGCACTGATGAGTGTTGATATGTATGAACACTGCCAACCAGGCCCAGGCGCAATGGCTCACACCTGTAATCCCAGCACTTTGGGAGGGCTGAGGTGGGCAGATGGCTTGAGCCTAGTTCAAGACCAGCCTGGGCAACATGGCAAAACCCTGTCCTACTAAAAATACAAGAAAAATAGCCAGGTGTGGTGGTGCACACCTGTAATCCCAGCTACTCGAGGGGCTGAGGTGGGAAGGATCACTTCAACCTGGGACACAGAGGCTGCAGTGAGCCAAGATCATGCCACTGTACTCCAGCGTGGGTGACAGAGCGAGACTCCATCTCAAAAAAAAAAAAAGATTGCCAACCAGCATGTCTACATGGTGGAGTCCCCCAAATAACGCCAAAACCTGCATGGTGGGGACAGGCAGCCTTGGTTTGGGTGCTGTCTCTCCTGAGGGCAGCTGTGTGCTCACCAGCATGCAGGGGCTGGGGAGAAGTCCTTCCTCAAAGCCGCAGGCATCTGGCTTGAGCGAGGTCATCCTCGAGGGCCTTGGAGTAGGACTTCCGCAGAGCGCGTGTCCGTGGGTTGCTGCTGCACCTTCACTGTGTGGAATTGCTGTGAAAACAGGCGACATGCAAGGGGCTTTGTAGGAGGTGATGGTGGGACGGAGACACTGGGAGCAGCTTGGGCCAGGCTCTGTGGACCTGCAGTGAAGAGAAGGAACGGGCGTGAGGAAGGTCTCATCTGCTGCTGGTGGAATCTCCTGAGAAGCTGAGCTGGGGGCAGGGTCAGTGTGGGGTCCTGCCATGAGAGAGGGTGTCCCAGCCAGCCTGGCAGGGTAATGGGGTAGATGCCAGAGAAGGGCTTTGTGCCTAACACGCCCTCTGTGGCCTGGCCTGGGAAAGGCCAGGGTGTGTGCCACTTCACCTTTCTCCAGCTCTTGCTCTCCTGGGCCCCTCACCCCTGGGATGGGGGCAGGAGATCCCTGGATACACTCTGCCTTCAGCACAAGGGAAGACTATGAAAGACAAGCTTTCCCGCCCGAGGGAGCCTCCCGCAGCGCTGGGCGGTGGCACTGATCCCTGTTTGTGGGCTCAGCTTCAGGTCACAGGAACCCTGTCAGGAGCTGGCCTGAGCTAGAAATTTAATTTTCTCAATGAGCCAGCGGCTGCTGACACAAATGCTGAAAGCTCTCCCCAGCGAAGTCGGTCACTTTTAGCTGGGATTGCTTCTCAGTGGAACCTGATGGTTCAGCCTCTAAATCAGACCCAGCCAAGCCTTTGAGTCCCTTCAAGAGACACAATGAAGGCCGGGCGCGGTGGCTCAGGCCTGTAACCCCAGCACTTTGGGAGGCCGAGGCGGGCGGATCACGAGGTCAAGAGAGCGAGACCATCCTGGCCAACATGGTGAAACCCCATCTCTGTTAAAATACAAAAATTAGCTGGGCGTGGTGGCGTGCACCTGTAGTCCCAGCTACTCGGGAGGCTGAGGCAGGAGAATTGCTTGAACCTGGGAGGCGGAGATTGCAGTGAGCCGAGATTGTGCCACTGCATTCCAGCCTAGCGCCTGGCGACA